TGTATTTCCATAAGTGGGGTAAAACTATGGAATAATTTAAGTGTAGACATAAAAAATAGTAATAGAATTGATGAGTTTAAACATAAATATAAAGGTATGTGTCAATCAAAATATATACAAGAACAGGTTTAATGATTAATCAGATGGAACATTGTGGGTGTGGGATAAGAATGTTAGCACTCTGTAATAATTCTTTAGTATATTACTTGTGTGGCGTAGAAGATAATTATCTATGAATGTAATTATGTAGAATGTTAACACTCTGTAATAATTCTGTAGTATATTACTTGTGTGGTGTAGAGGATAATTATTTATGTAGAGATATTGCTTAGGACTTAAAAGTTGTAAGATGATGTCATGGGGTAGGACTGGATAAGTCTAACTTCTTCCTACTCCATTCAAGCAAGTATTAGGTATAAGTAAATTGATATTGGATTAGCATTTGTTGGATATGTGTGAAATTATGTGTGTTGACATATCAACTGTTTTACATGCTTGAATGAATAAATCAAATCAATCAAATCAAATATTTGATTCCTGTGTTCTCTGAGGAGTGTGCCACATTCATTACCACTGTGTCTGATGCACAGTAAATACAACTGTGCAAGGTTGTTGCTGCTCTCTGTCTTTGACGACTACATTAGCTTGGTTATAATGTCTGCCCTCAATATAATTGACCACTGATGGGAGACCAGCAGCAACAGCAGACTGAACATTAATGCTGAGTAGTGACTCACTCTATGCATTCATACATAGCATTCATATTTAACAAAGACTTCTGTTTTGGCTGGGTTAATATTTCATTTGTTGGGTTGGTATATTCAATCAGACTACAGCACATTCAGTATGTTGCTTCACTCAGTATGCTAAATAATATCAGCAAGTAACAATGCTCACTTGCACAAGGCATACAAGCAAAAAAAATCACATCTGAGCTCCTTTAGACCCACACATATAGTGGACTGTAAATTTTGTGTCTGAAATCTATTTACCTGCGTGGTGGTCTTCACAGGATGAACTGTAATAACTCTGGTGATCCCCTGACTTCTTGTGCAGCACCACCATCAGGTCAAAACATCAATTTGTTTAGTACTTTGGTTTATAACCGATCACCTAGTGTCATTATTATGGAACTCATGTTATTACCATCAGCCTCATGTGCTTTATTTAATGCTAATTAGCAAATGTTAGCATGCTAGTATACTGACATGGTGAACATGGCAAACCTTACACCTGCTAAACATCAGCATTGTTTTTATGAGCACGTCAGCGTGATGGTTTAACTCAAAGTGCTGCTGTTCTGAAGTACAGTCTCACAGTCTTGTTAATATTATACATTTATTCAAAGAACCTTTCTAACCTTTCTGTTTATCTGAATGGAAAATGTGACAGCTTGTGAACATGTTTACTTCTAAGTCCTACAGCAAAGATGGGGACATTTAACCTCAAGGCATCTGTTTGGAAAGAATAACAATGGAGTAAAAAAAAAAAGTAGAATATTAAATAAAAGACAAAATGGTTACTCTATGCATTGTTCAGATTGTTCAAGATTAAATTTACATTCAGGTGGGTTAGTTAGGAGTTACCTAAATACCTCCTAATCTTCATGTTTGTTGTGGTCTAACATATTTTGTTCCTCACTGAAGTTTCAATCTGTATAGACATACAGTTTGTATCAGGCATTATTCAAGTTTCCTCTCAGGGGCATTTGCTCTTCTTTAATAGGCCAAAACTTTATTTAAAATAATTGATAAACATTCTTAGAAAAGGCTGAAAACTGCATCTTTATAGGTTGTTGAAAATTGTTGGAAACATAAAGATAATCAGTGAAATCATTGCCATATTTTCTCTCCCAAACAACATTTGATTAATTCAGATTAAATCAGTATTATTTAACTTTAAATAAATATATTCTCCCTCTGTGCTTTAAAACAATATTTCACATTTGCATTATAAGTCATTACAGACTGAATTTCTGTAATGTCACTTCTGGCATATTGTTGATTTCACCACTGTCTTTAAATAAGCAGCTTTAAAAGCAAGCGAGTGACCCACTGTTGGTATAATGACAAGAACTAAAAACTGGATCATGGGGAAAAAAGATGGCTTTTTGTAAAGGTTGTCTGGTCTAAACATAGATATTTAGATTTACCTAAGAGCAGTGTCATTATGGAAATGATAAATAAGCTTCTGTACAGAAGAGTGCAACAGCTCCAGAAAGAGAAGAGCCATCTATCATCACTCAGTGTGCATTATTTAGGGCTTTCGGAGAGACCCTGGGGGAAATGTGATGG